CTGTTTATTTATGTGTCTATGAAAGCATGTCTGGGTGCCATGTGGAGGTCAGAAGACCAATTATGGGACTCAGTTCACGTCTTGTACCTTTTGGGTTCTGGGGCTTGGACTCAGGTTGTCAGGCTTGCTGGTAAGTGCCTCTACCTGCAGAAGTGCTTATCTTGCCAGTCCCATCTATCTGTCTGTCTGTTCGTCCATCCATCCATCCATCTATTTATTTTTGAGACTGGGTCACGCTTTGTAGCCAGAATGAACTCATATTCTCTATGGAGTTCTACTCTAGACATTGGAAAGATACCCTTTGTCTACAGAATTTTGAAATTCCACAGTGATATAAATCAACAGAGATCTGTTTTCACATACTGTGCTAGGCATCTCATGGCTCTTTTCCTAGTCCTGCTCTCATACATGGTTTTATACACGCCAGGCAAGTTCTCTACCACTGTTGTGTCTGTCCTAACTCCTTCTCTATTTTTTTTTGTCCTTTTAGAATTTAGGCTTTTAGTATTTGGGCTTTGTGAGCAGGTCACCTAACTTACTTTATGTATTTTTCAACATTTGTGAGTTTCGAATGAGCACTTAGTCTACATCATTTCCTCCCCACCCTCTCCCAGTGTTTTATTTTTCTCTCCTGTGATTTTTGTGTTCCCTTATTGTAGTGCTAGGAATGGAACCCAGGCCTTCGAGCATGCACAGCAAATGCTCTGTACCGGAACTGTACCTGCAGCTCTGCTTTGGAGATGTAAAGGCATGTGTTCATCTAAAAAAAAAAATGAGGAAAAAAATAAGGATCACTGCAGCTATTTAATGCATTGTACGTATTATGCCAAAACATATATTAAGATGCATGTAATTCATATAAGCTACCGTGTTCAACATCTGAGCAAAAGATAGAAAACATCTTTTTTATACAGGAGTACACACACCTGTGATCTCAGCATACTTGGGAGGTTGAGGCAGGAGGACTTCTAGCCTGTTCTAAATGGTAAGTTCTAGGCCAGCTAGGCTGCACAGGAAGATTCCCACCTCAACAGACAACCACCACAACAAAAAATTTCTATTTAAACTTTTCTAATGAAAAAAAAATTCTGCTAGCAGGCTTTCATTTAACATGCTTTTGTTTTCTGGATGTTTATTTCTTGAAACTGTATGCTCCTTCACAAATACAATACTGTAAGTCTCCAAGTGATTTGGTGGTAGTTGAGCACAGTCTTAGGCTAGCTTTAATGTCTCTGTCTAGCCCAGGGCAGCCTTGAACTCACAAAACCATCATCCATCTTCCTCAGCCTCCTGAGTACTGGGGTTATATGTGTGCACTACCAGTTGTTTTAGAATTTAAAAATATGTTAGCCTCTACCTCTTTTCTTGTGTTGCTGGAGATGGGACTCAGGGTGTCACTGTGTGTTGTGAGTCGACTCCTAGAAGAAAGCGGCTATCATCTTTGCAGCCATCTCGAGCCATATACCCTGACAAGAGACTTGTTTTCAACAGCCTACAACAGCTGAACACACTCTGATAAACATCTTGTTTTTCTCACGTATCTTGTTTTGCTGTTTAGTGCCGCCAGCAGCTAGGAGCACGTGACATCCACACTGCAAGGCCCATGACATAGTGCCTTCAGCTGTGCTTGTCCACGAGGGCAAGGAACATGGTAAAGGGTATAAATACCCAGGATTTCCTTCCAATGAATGAGACTTGATCAGACTTCCTGTCTTGTCTCCATTCTTCGAGTCTCCCAACTCTCTCTTTTGCTAGGCCCTGACCCGCAGACTGGAGCAGCAGAACGGGCCGTTACAAAGTGCCCTCCCCCAACATGAGGCAGCTCTGGTGGCTACAACTGTGTACCAGGATGTCTACCTCCTTGTCTTGCTTTCACATTAGAGGTTTGCCTCACTTGTCTGGTGACTGGCTGTCTGCTCACGGTATAGCACTAGGTGTTCCATGGAGGACGATTGTTACTACTTGTGATCTGGCTGGCCTATTTCCTTGGAGAATTCCTTAGCATTAGTTTTTTTCATTTTCTCTCTTGGACTGGTCAGATACCTCATGGAAGATTATTACTGTCTGCCAGGCTCCTGGAAGCTGAATGAAGCAAATGAAGGAAAAAGAACTGTAGGCCTAAATCTTCATATTTGCTTGGTTTGCCTTAGCAACAACGCTGTGCCTCAGAAGCAGCAGATGAATAAGATGGAACTATAAAGCATGAAGAATATGATCTGATTGTTGGTTCCAAGTAATCGTAGAATCTGGATAAACAGGGCTAAACATCTGTCTCTTTTCAGGGCTCAAACTCCTTATATTTCATCACTACATCCCACTGAAGGATCAGTTCTTTTGCTCAGTAATCAATTCTAGTGGCTGGCCAGGTAAGCAGCTGCTGGGTATGAGCTTTTCATATGCCAGGTGGCTGTGCTGACGCTCCCTTGTGCATTAGGTGGAAGAAAGAAATCAGTTATAACGTTGTTAGCCTCTGCCCAACAGCTGGAGGACGAAGCTCTGGGCCATTTCTTCCTAACAGGAAGGAAATGATCAAAACCGGACACAGGAGGAGAAAGCCTAACGAGGTCTCGTGTCTGGCGGACTTTTGGATTTTGTGGAAATGGCAGTGCTCAGGTGCCTTCCAGCAGCAGTCTTGGGGACCAGGAAATGACAGCCCCCAAAGCTACCAAATGAAGAGACTTCCACGGTACTAGCAGTAGACAGCAGGAGCTCCAGCAGGTGATCGCTCCCTTTGTCTCCTCCTTGCTTAGGAAAAACGAGCTGGCCCAGTGGTCTGAGGGAGCTGTTAGGGCTGTTGTCACTTTCTGGGCAGCCACAAACTATGATCCTCTTTGCCTCAGTTTCTTGAGGAATAAAAAAGCCTACCTCATAATATGCTAAAAGAGTCAACCACATTTTAATGCTTTTTTTCCCTTTAGGCAATATTCACATAAAAATTTAAAGAATGTACAATTAAAATAAGTTTTAAGCTTATGTATATGTGTGTGTCTGTAGGGCCAGAAGAGGGTGTCACATCCCCTGGAGCTGGAGTTACAGGGAGTTTTGAGCTGCCCAATGTTGGAAACAAATCCCAGCAAGGGCTCATAAGTTCTGAGCCAACGCTCTAACCCCTAGAAAGTGTGGTGTTGTCTCCTGCTTTATATTTTCTTTCTTTCTTTCTTTCCTTCTTTCTTTCTTTCTTTCCTTTCTTTCCTTCCTTCTTTCCTCCCTTTCTTTCTTTTTTTCATGTATGTGTGCTCTAGCTGCTTATACTCCTGCATGTCAGAAGAGGGCATCAGATTGTACACTGTAGATGGTTGTGAGCCACCTTGTGTTTGCTGGAAGAGGCCCAGATGCTCTTAACTGATAAGCTGTCTCTCCAGCCCCTTGTCTAATTTGTTGTTGTTGTATCTCCTCCCCTCCCCCATCCCAGAGTTTCTCTGTGTAGTCCTGGCTGTCCTGGAACTTGCTCCGTAGACCAGGTTGGCCTCAAACTGCATGCCTCTGTCTCCCAAGTGGTAGGATTAAGGGTATATGCCACAACTGCCTGGCTTTTAGTCTAATTTTTAAAATAACAAACATTTCCTTTTATCATTAAAGGATTACTGGAGAACAATTCTGTTTTTGTTTGTTTGTTTGTTTGTTTGTTTTTTCGAGACAGGGTTTCTCTGTGTAGCCCTGGCTGTCCTGGAACTCACTCTGTAGACCAGGCTGGCCTCGAACTCGGAAATCCGCCTGCCTCTGCCTCCCAGGTGCTGGGATTAAAGGCATGCGCCACCACAACCCGGCCTGGAGAACAATTCTTAAAAGAAAAAAAAAAAACTCTATCATCAGTAGAACATTAGTTTCAGATAAGTTTCTTATTTTTGTGACAGGGTTTGGCTAAGCAGTCGAAGCTAACCTTAACACATTTCTGATTCTCAGGTTTCATGCTCCTGAGTGTTGGGATTATCACTATGACCGACCCAATTGGTATGCAATTCTATTTTTGTTATTAAAAATAAATTCAGAAGCTGGTGATCTGGTCAACAGTTAAGATACGTTTTTGCTCTTTTAGAGGACCGAGGCTTGATTCCCAGTACCCAGGGATCATCTTACAACTCCAACTCTAGTCTTTTAATTACATGTGTGAGGAGGAATTAAAGACAGGCTCTTGCTTCATAACTTAGCCGGCCTTGAACTATTACTGGTGATACTGTGCATATGCTTCAGATGTTCAAATTATCACTGCGTACTCCACCATACCCTGACGAGAGTTCTTCCCTTGGGGATTTGATTTGATTTTAGTTTCTTAATTCAAGAGTACACCAGAAATCATGACAGCTGGAAATGGTTTATTTCGTTTCTTCTAGAAACCAACCCACTGAAGAAAGGTTCCGAACGGAGAAAATCCATGCCTTCTTGCTTGGAGCCGGAATTCACCTCACCTGACGTGCCGCTTTTCCTTTAAAGGCCGCCCACGTGATCGTACACATGCGCACACTCCGGAGGAAATTCACGCCGTCAAGAGAGCGAGTCATTATTCCCCCACTTTCCCTGGGGTTTCTGGCATTCCTTTCCGGAAACCGCAAGCCCTCTGGAGACATTTTTCCTCATCTATTCCGTCGCGTCATCCGTTTTTATACTTTTCTGTTAGTCGCTGTCCTGGGAGTTCCCTCTCCACAGAAAACTACTTTCCGGAGGAAGGCCGAAAGGACTACAACTCCCAGGGGGCTCTGCGGCCTGTCCCCGCGCGCGCAGTGCAAGTTGGATGCTGAGGTCCCACGATCTTCTAGTCGCGTGCAGCCCGGAGCAAGCGCACTACAGGTTCCGTGGCGCCTCGCGCGTGAGTCAGACAGGGGTGGGGCGGGGCTCGAGAGGCCGGGCTGGCGGCGGCGAGCGAGCGGGCGGAGGAAGGGGGTGGGAGCGGAGGCGATGGAGGGGAGGAGTGGGGGTATGGGGGAGGGAAGGGGAAGGGAGGCGGGAGGCGGGGCCGAGTGGGAGCTGGAGCTAGAGTCAGAGTCGGCGGTTGCAGTGGAGGCGGTGATGTCGGTGCAGGTTGTGTCAGCAGCGGCAGCGGCCAAGGTGCCTGAGGTGGAGCTGAAGGATCTGAGCCCCTCCGAGGCGGAGCCCCAGTTAGGACTGAGCACGGCGGCCGTGGGCGCCATGGTACCCCCAGCGGGTGGCGGGGACCCAGAGGCTCCGGCTCCCGCGGCGGAGCGGCCCCCGGCCCCTGGCCCGGGCTCGGGGCCCACCGCGGCTCTCAGCCCTGCGGCTGGGAAGGTCCCTCAAGCGTCGGCCATGAAGCGGAGCGACCCCCATCACCAGCACCAGCGGCATCGCGACGGCGGCGAGGCCCTGGTCAGCCCCGACGGCACGGTCACCGAGGCGCCGCGCACGGTCAAGAAGGTACTGGGGTCGGGCTGCCTCTCTTCTCGGAGAGGCGGGGAGGGCGGGCATGGGAGCCGCGGCCCTTCAGGGCACGGCAGCACCCCGTTCCACACCCTCTAGATCGTGGAGCCGAGTCTTTTCCCACCCTTGAACCCGCTCTTAGAGCGGCCGCCACCCGGTGCTCCGCTGCCAAGCGAAGCCTCCAGGTACCACGGGTGTACTTCGCTACTAATAACATGGAGGTAGCGCCCTTCACTACTACTTGAACGAGGCAGGGGGAGGAGAAGCACCTACTACTACACCCCTTGCCTCCGGCACACTCCCGCGTGTAATTTTCCGGACTATTCGGCGGCATAGAAAAACCTTCCCTCCAGCGATAAGGATAGCAAGATGGTTTTCCTTGGAGAACGAGGAAGCAGTAGTTAGCTCTCATGAGGGCTCGGGAAACCCTCTTGAGTTGCCTGGCTTCTGTACAGATGACGACTTTCTGCCTTTCTGTGGCCAACAGCTTTCCACAGGGTAGTACTGATCTGTGCCCTTCCTTTCTAGCCATTGCAATCCTCTTGTACTGTGATTGTAGAAGGGTAATGGAGAGACGCTTCATTCCCTCTGAAGAGGTCTGTCTCTAGGATTACTAGGTTGTATCTGAAGAGAATGCTTATTTCATTCATATCGTTATTGTGAACCGAAAGTGTTAGGAAGAAATGCCTGCTACTTTAGGGAAAGTAATCATTTGGAGCTGTCAGCTTCCTTCATGAATAGAAACATGTAATGATAGTACCCCCGTACTATTTATATATTGGCTATATACCCTTTACCTCCTCCCCTCGTTTTTTTCGCCCATTTATCGATGCTAAGTCAGCACAAGAGGAAAAAGACAAGAGATGTGGATCATCTAAAAAAAAAATGGCTTTCATTTCCTGGAAACAATATGAACACAATGATTTATGTTTTTTTTTTCATTATAATGGGTGCATTTTGTTCTGTCAGAACAACAATAAAAAAGTGTACATTGGGTTTACTGTGTAGAGTTTAGGTGAACCTTGGCTCCTGCAAAACATTTTGCTGTAACTACCTCATGACTTAGAGCAGTTAACTTTTTCATTCTGACTTCTCAAAGGTAGTGCTAAATGATGTCAGAGGCAAGACTGAAGGAATTTAACAGTGCTTTAGGACATGCTTTGTCCTTTGCATTTTGGTGTGTCGTCCCCCCCCCCATGCAATTATAGTTAAATGGAGGAATTACACTTAAAAGAGGCAGCCTGGGCTAGGGCTGGAAGTACTTAGGTCAGAATTAGGAAATTCAAAGCATATTTCTCACTAGTTAAGATGAATATAACTTTGGCCAAACTTTTTCTTGTGACTAATTTTTCTAAAGTTTGTAATTTAGTTCTTTTAAGGGTAAAATGTTTAATAAATTACTTTTAGAGTGACGTTTATACTTAGGTACAGACCTAGGTTTGAATATAGTACTCCCTCCCCTAGTATTGACTTTTGAATAATTTTCAAATTTTATAAAGTAATTTCTTCTATAAAATTAAGGTACTAATTATGATTAAGGATTAAAAATGTTTGTGGTCATCACGTAGAACTAGGTACCTATAGTAGAATCTTAAATAATAACTTACTAAAATTTATTATTTCTCTCCTCATTGCTTAAGTATATGTATGTCACTGTGACCTTCTCTGAAAAATACACATATTAGTAATAGTTCAATAGATTCTATATAAAGAATTAATAAAAAAGAACCACAGGCCAGTACCCTAGAGTCTATTACTTAATTCTAAATACGCTTCTTGGACACTTTCCTTGTTGCTGAGCCACCTTCTTCCTGTTTTTTTAGTATCAAAATCATGTTCCATGATTCTAGATTTACTCACACAGCCTCAAGGCTATGAAGACAGGGCTGAGCTTGCCTCACAGTTATAATCACACCAAAGCCCTTGTTATTTGCTGACCATTCAGCAGGTAAAGTCCTGGGCAAGGATGCAGCTCTATGACATAAGTAAGGACATTGCTGAGCTTGCCTTGGCTTCCTCTTTTCCTCTCCCTTCTCCTTTTCTTACTCCCCTTTCCCTTCCTCTTGTCTTGTTAGGGTCTCAATCTGTAGCCCAGACTGCTTGGAACTATGTAGTTGAGGCTGGGCTCTATAATCTTCCTGCTTCAGCCTTCTGAATACTGAGATTGCAGGTGTATGCCACCACACCTGGCCTGAACTTTTATCTGTTTTTCTTTTTTAAGACAAGATCTGGCAGTGAGGAGAGTTTCCTAGGTGTGGCTCGCTTGGTAGAATGTTTGCCTGGCAGGGAAAAAGCTTTGGGTTTTTGATCCACAGTAACATATAAACCAGGCATAGAGATGCTTACCTGTAATCCCAGTACTGAGGTCGAGGAGACAAGAGAACCTTAAGTTCAAGATTATCCTTGGCTACATAGTGAGTTTGAGGCCAGCCAAGCAGGCTGACTTTGAACTCATGATCCTTTCACCTCAGCTTCCTGTGTGCTGGGATTTGAAGTTTGTACCACATTTGACTTGCTGTTTTTAAAGAGTACAATCTTTAGTTTTCTTTTTTTTCTTTTTCTTGTTTTTTTTTTTTTTTGTTTTTTTTTTTTTGTTTTTTTTTGTTCTTGTTTTTTGAGACAGGGTTTCTCTGTGTAGCCCTGGCTGTCCTGGAACTCACTCTGTAGACCAGGCTGGCCTCGAACTCAGAAATCCACCTGTCTCTGCCTCCCAAGTGCTGGGACTAAAGGTGTGCGCCACCACTGCCTGGCTTTAGTTTTCTTGATAGTGAATTGACTACATTTTCTTCATGTAGAATGTCACTCAATGAGGAACAACTGTTTAGATTTGTTAAACCTTTCTTGCTTCTTACATTGTCTAGATAAGCCATTCTGTTCTTGACTCCCTTTTGCTTTATTAAAAGTATGTGGAGGGATTGGGTATTCTAGGAACAAAATAGTTGCCTTTAGCTATGTAAAATGGTGACTGTTGCTTTTATTTTTTAGTTGCCAGAAAACTTATTTATGTTATCTATTACATTTCCATTAATGTTTCTCTTTTCCTATTTGTGTATCAGTTATCAATTTTTTGGTTCTGTTACTCTGATCAGCCACAGAAAGGAAGTACATAAAAGTCAGACCTCTAAAGTTCAATTCTAAAAATAATGAACATAATAGGGTGCAGGTTACTTGATCACATTTTACTTTTGGTCCTTGCCTTCATCTTGTAACTTGTACTCTATAGGGCAGATCTTGTCATTGTGGTTATGATATTATATTTAAAGTTTTCCTTCATAAGCATACTTTCAGTGAACTCAGTAAATATCTCTGAAGTAGTAATTTATAAAATGGGACAATAAGTTCCATCATGAGTGACTGTGACAGCAGTTAAGAGCATTTCTTCCATGTGTTTTAGAAATGGGTGCTAGCACAAAGGAGGATTTCCGAGAAGTTGAGACTCTCTGATAATAAGGCTTGCAAGCCTAAGAACCTCAGCTAGTGTGAGCTTATGTTACTATTGGTAATGACCATGTTCAAACAGACTCCATATTTTTCTTGGCAAACATATCTGCATTGTACTTACTTTGTTGCTGTGAGGAGAGAATGAGTTGAGCCATGTTCGTGCTTTCTTGCCCTGAATTGTTTAAGCCCTTGATTTGGTTAATTATAGATTACTGAAATTGAGTGTTTTGGATAGAGTCATGGGAATATGAGAGCAGTATGACTCCCTTGCCAGTTAGAAAAGTACAGCCTAGCAAAATGTTCAGTAAGGCAATTGGCAGTTGGACCCTAATAATAGTTACCATTAATTGGCCTTTTAGGTGCCAGGAATTGTTACGGGCATTTCTGTAATCCTGACAAGAACATTATGAAATGCAGATGGCATTATCTCAGTTTTACTGATGAGGAAATGTGATTCAGAGAGCTTACTGTCAACCCCAAGGTCATACATCTAAAAAGTGGCACAGGTATTTAAACCTATGTATGCCCCCAAAGCCTATGTCTTTATCCTTGTGCCACACAGACTTTCTGAGCTCTTAGATCTTGGTCTCTGGTCTTCCAACAGGAATCTGTAGGTTCCTGAGTGAACTCTTGAAGGTGTGTCTGTCTGGCTAAGGCTTAGATCATTCCAAGACCAAAGTGAAGAGAGTGAGTCAGGCTTTTGAAAGAGGATAGGAGAAAACTGTACAAATGAGAACCTCAAAGAATCTCAAAGTTAAAGATAGGAGAACATTTATACAGGGAAGAAATTTATAATTAATGATATTAGCCTCTTGTTTGCAATCAACTTGTAACCCTATAATGCATCCTACCCCCCCCCTTTTTTTAAATAGAGACTTGCTGTTTATCCTAGGTTGGTCCCAGACTCCAGTTCCCTTGCCTCTATAGTTCCGTATGCAGCCGAGGTTAGCCGAGGTTAGCCTCAGACTCCAGATCTGTTTCTACCTTCTAGTATTATAAGCATGTTCCACCATGCCTGGTTTTATCCTTATTTTTAAAGTTGCGAATCTGGTTCCTTTCTGTTGAGCTAACAGTTTTCTTCTGTTCATTAAGTTCCCCCTCTATGAATCAGTCTCTGATTAAACCTTTGAGAATTAGAAAGGGAAGTATGCGGTTAGGTTTTTTTTTAAACTTTTGATTTTTATGTGTATAAGTGTTTTGCCTACATTTATGGCTGTGCACCACTTGTGTGCCTGGTGCTGAAGGAGACCAGAAGAGGGCAGTAGATCTCCTGGAGCTGGTCTGGTGAGCTACCCTGTGGGTGCTGGGAATTGAAGCCAGATCCTCTGGAAAGCAGCCAGTGCTCTTGACCACTGAGCCCTCTCTTCAGCCCCTTGTTAGGTGTTCTCACTTTGTACAAGGCCTTGTATCTGCTGCTTGATATGTACTATTTTATTTAATACTTTTAAGAGCTCTTAAAGATAGTGTTATCCTTATTTTATTGAGGAAACAGATTAAGAAATTTGTCTCACAGTAACACAGTAAAGTACTAGAGCTAACAGATTCCTAATCTGTTT